CGGTATAGATCTGCAGTGCGAACATTTTGCAGATAAAAAAGTATTTACCCTAGAGAATATACTGAGTTAAGGGTACCCAAAAAAGTACCCTGATACCAGTATGTCACAGGAACTTTTGGGTACCAAAGTACTTGCAGGTACTTACAGGTACCTAAGTGGTACTTTTGCAAGTACCCTGCTGGAAAATGCACAGTAATTGGGTACCTAAAGGTACTGATCAAGTACTGAATTGGGTACCATTGTATAGTATTTCTAAGTACCCTGTTACCAAATTTTCAGTATGTTCAGGATCGAACCTGATCTTTGACTTTTTAAAATTTTTTCTTTTTCTTGAGATAATTTACTAGATTTTTTTTTTACTTTATTCAAATTAATTTTTTCAACTCCAAAAACTTAGCAGAAAAAATGTCGGGATCCGACTCAACTTGAGTTGGTCGTAGACCACTTCAGGATAGTCCGATCTTAATTTACGACCAAGCTCGGCATTTCCTCGACTAAGAAATAGTCAAGAAATAATTTAGAAAAAACTAGTATGAAAATCGATTATTTTCTTATGATTTATCGAGTTGTTTATATAGAGGCGTACATAAAAAAGAAAACGGTGAATGAATAGTCGCCACACAGAACGCGAAAAATTTAGGATACCCTGTCGAGATTTTCTCAGTGAAGTTACAGACTTGTGTATCCATGCAGGTACTTATTCAGTGAATGTACTTTTATGGGTACCCCAAACAGTACATACATCAGTAAAATTACTGAGAATTTTCAAAGTACCCCTACTGGGTACCCTGCTAGAGCTTTCTCAGTACATGGGTACCCTGAACTCAGTTCTTTCTCTAGGGTAGTTGTTAGCGGTTTGCTCTTTGCAACCAACAACATCATATTACAATTCATTGCGCTGCACGAAAAAACGATTTTCTAAGATCACGTCATCTTTGAGCTATTCCTCCAATCCTCAGGATGGTCAATCGTCATTATTGACTGACTCCCTCTTGTCTGAGTTTCTCAAGAACGACTTGAACAAAAATTGTAAAACTTTCAGGATAGATAGATCTCGCCTAATAGAGTAAAAATTGCATATAGATTCAGAATTATCAGAGGTTCCCTTCTATGAGATATAGGGAACGCAGGTGAGAAAAATGACCTAAACTTTTCTTCCGAACAAACTTGGGACTAGGAATCTGTTTTATGGTTATCATTAGGTGAGAAAATTCGTTTAGAACAATGGAAACCTTATCATGATTCAATACCTTTAACAATTCAACAAATGTTAGATTATGCACAATTAAAACAAATAAAATTAGTTCCATATGTTTATCCACCATTAGGTTATCGATCGAAAGGAAAAGATCAAGCTTGGCTATTTCCAAGTTCACATTGTAAAAATGTTTGTGCATCTCTAGCAAGTATAGAATTTCAACAATATTTTTTACAATTATTAATTGATTTTGCACAAATTACAGGTAATGCATCTTCCTTTAGAAATTAATATTTTTGAATATTTAAATAATTAGATATTGGTGAATATGCATGGGATTATAATTTTTTTATGATACTGAAAATACAGAATATAGTCAATGGCGTGGTTGGCAATGGATTCGTACCGAGTTATTTGTTGCATTACCATATTTAATTATGGATCATCGTTATGCATCACAATATGATGGTCCTTGGTCATGGATAACTTTAAATGGTTATACATCACCTTTATTAAGTAATGAAAATCCTGAAACATATCCAATATTATATCCATCTTTACATACTGATAAAATATCTGCAGATTTTATGCGTCAAGGAAATGTGGAACTACGTTTCGAACATTTCGCATCAATGAATTGTATTCTTGGTTTTATTGGACATCAAACAGAACGTTATTCATCCAATGGAAGTTTACCATGGATAGATAATAATTTAAGAGATTTTGATTTAATGGGTTTTTCATATTCATTATTATCGAATATAGCAACAGCTGGTTTAAATCTTATTCATACATATATACCAGCACGTGATTTACAAGAATTTTATTTATTACCTGAAAATTTTTTAGAATTTTGGTCTTATTGGTTAAAATAGACAGATGAACATATTGAAGAAATACATAATAGTATACCATTTAATATCGAACAAGACTGGTCTTTAATGAAATCAAATGGTTTTGATGGATATTTATTTTTATTTAATCCATATTATAAACAAGTTCATAGAAAAATTTTATTTGATGGAAAATTAAATCTTAAAAATCCCCAAAAACAAGGTTATTGGTTATTAAAAGAAATTTATCCACAAGAAAGATTTATATTATTTATAGAATATAATCAAACCAATGAATTTTTATTAGATGGTCAATCTGTTTCAATTTATCAATTAATATTTATTTCAATAATTGATCAACCAATTCTTGTTGGCATTAGTGGACAAGCTTTTTTAACAAATAAAAATATATTAATTATTGATGGAGTTTATGGTAAAGCTGGTACACAAACAAATAATCCTATATCTATTATTTTACCAAATCAAGATCTGATATTTAATGTATTATTAAATGGAATAGAAAAACGATTTAAACAAAATAAACAGATTATTATTTTAATTGATCCTTTATCATTTTCTGGTTTATATTTACCACGTTCAGCAGAAATTCTTAATAATACAATAATGATTAGTGATTTATTATTGAAACAATTAGTGACACGTCAATTAGAATATTCTATTCAATGGACTGAAAAAGAATTAAATGATGCATCATGGTTAGGACCACATCGTCTTTTGTTATTTATATGTATTTTAAATCCAAATGATCAATGGAATATAACTGCTCAAATCAATAATAATTCAATTATTGTACATAAAAGTTATAATACACGTGATCATTATTATCAACAACGATTTATAGGATTCTACTTAGATTTAACAAATATTGTTATACAACCCAATGTTCAATATTATTTATCATTAAATATGCCACACATGCAACCAGGACAATTTCAAGGATTATTTTTAGAAAATATTGAAAGAATTCTTATTGAAGCATAAATAATTGTTTTTCTTATAAAAAAAAAAAAAAAAAAAAAATTTGTAGACCTTTCATTCGATGAAACAAATCATTAATGATCATAGACAAATACCAGTATCAGTTTTTTCTTTCAAGACTAGGATGGATGTGAATGTGAATGTATTAATCTTCTTTTACTCACACACTGCCAAATACACTCTAATGAAAAATAGTCGCTTTGTGGAAAATTAATAAAGTAGATTTCAGATAATTTTCTTGTAGAAAGGTTTTCGAGACTATTTTGGAAACTCCGTAGAAGTTTACCCAAGTTCTAAATAGATCTCTGAAACTTCTAAAACTTTGACACCGTTTAAGATAGTAATATTTTACAAAATCTATGTAGAGTTTGGAAAAACTTCTAATAAACTGACGAGATCGTTTGAGAAACATTTCCGAAATAAGAAAAATCCAGAGAGGCTTTATTGTACATGTTCTGCAATGTGAAATGTTTTTCAAATATGAAAAATGTTAGATGAACTATAACAATACAAGAGACTAATCAATACAGTAGTGTTGCTGATGATTTTTGTTCATATGGTGCTATAGCAATCATCATTATATTTCCTCGTTCCATTATTTCATGTAGAATCCGTAGGTATTATTGTTCAAGCAAATGTAAAAAAGAAAACCATTTAATTACAAAAGCTATCGGTGTGTAATGTAAAATGTACATCTTATTATGAGTTATGAGAAGTCAAACATTTATACAGCCGTCCACAGTCATATTCACACCCTTATAAAAATGAGAGTGAGTAGTTATTTGCATGAATATTTATTCATTTCAATATAAGATCGACTTGTTTGCAACATAATTCTCTTTGAAAACGATTATTCTACCTTGAGAAAGTAAAATTTTGTCGTGTTAACATTTATACAAATTACAATTTCTGTTGCAAGAATGAATTTATTTTATTGACATTATCAGAAAAAAAAATTAATTCAAACACCTTTCTTAAATTACGATAATTGAAATGATGCTGCAATCATCAGATGATCTGAAGGATGAGTTTCATCCGGATAAG